GTCGTCGGACGCGCGACGTCTCGTGCGTGTGACGGATCGTTTCCGACATTTGGCCCGTGTCGTCTCCGTTAATTAGATTCATGATTGTAAAATGCGTAGCCGTCCTCGACGGGAGGTAACCGAGTCGGTTGCTCGAATGTTCCCTCGTGAACCAGCCGCGTGGTGTCGAATGATCCACGCGTACGTATCGGATATCGATCGATCCGAGGACGACGATAAAATAAAAATAGAAATTAGCATCGAACTTTGATTTTTTCGGGAATAGTTTGACAAGTCTGAACTTTATGCGACGCGCCATTTTTCGACCGACAGAACCAATTATGCGATCGACAATTAAAAAAAAAAAGGTATTTTCATATTCGGCCTTAGGACTCGGTATTGAACTAATAAAGAGGAAAAGGCAATCAGTTTGGGAGGCTTGGTAAGCTGCGGAGGGGCATGAAAAAGGAATTCCCAATTAACTCTCATAATCAAACGTTTACGGTACAATTATCAAAGGAGCGACGATATCGAAATCGTTAGGGATGGCTTAAGAACTTTAGACGAAGACTCTTTAAGAAAACGAGACAATAAAGATCGCCTGGGATGGAAACTCGAGGGTAGCAATCAGGAGTTTGTTTGGAGTATCCGTTCCCCGGGAACACATTGTTTCGTTCTATGTAAACCATTGATCGTGACCGAACGTCGTTTTTTTTTTACGTAAGTGGTTCTAGGCAGACTCGCGACACTTCCAATATCCTGGTGTACACGATCAAGGAAAAAAGAATGGAGGGACGAGTGGCCTCAATCCGTCGATGCTTTACCAAGATTAAGTAAATATTCATCGTGTCGGATGTGTTGCTGTTTCCAATTAATCGAGGGTAATGCGTACTCGTGCACGGGCACGTATCTTCGATCGATTGGGAAAAGTATCTATGAATTACGTAATACGCTCTCGAGTGCAGTCCACGGTGTTATGGACGGAATCGATGATGAAGGTGGGTGCTGAGTCGTCTCGAAGGTTAAAGAAACGAGAAAGAAGAGACGGATGTCGGCGTACGTTGCATAAATTTCAAAATCTCGTTATTATACGTCGCGAACTGAACAATACGTTTATCTCGACTTCAACGAAGGCTCGCGATCGATCCATTCGCTGGAACGAGAATTTACAACCTCGCTACGTTTTTGTTCGTTGCTAAAACCTTTTTTTGTCATAAATTCATTGAATCTACTAAAAGAATTTATTTACCGTCTCTACAAAGAAATTAGACGTAAAAAGTGAGTCAGGTTCTCGAGCAGGAGGACAACTAACGTAGTATGGAACATTGGATTCCAAAGCTTGTAAAGACACGAGTTTCTTTTCAAAATTAACAACCTTGTTGCGTTTTTTTCCGTTATTTAAACCTTTTTTGCCGGGAATTTATTGAATCTACCAGGAGAATTTATTTACGGTCCGTACAAAGAAGTTAGACGTGAAAAGTGAGTCAGATTCTCGAGCAGTAGGACAACTGAAGAAAGTATGGAAAATTGGATTTCAAAAGCTTGTAAAGACACGTTTTTCTGTTCAAATTGAATTATGTTTTTCTATATTAAGTACGTGCTACTATGCGCTCTTACAATTTGGGACGACAAAGACATCAAGTAAGGTAAATAAGTACCGATTTAATCAAACAATGGGGGACGTAGAAGTACGAACGTTCCATCAATACTATACACAGTGTAACTAAGCATCATGCATCGAACGAGGTCAAATTCATCTTACTCACGACTCCGCAGAGATGTGAGCGCGATACGTTTAATGGAATCATCGGTGTCTACTTATAAAAGACGATCCGTTTGGAGTGGTGGATGGCTGAGTGTAGGCTAACAAGAAACAGGTCTGTCGCGTTGGCGACGAAGATCCTCAGGTGGCAGGCGCCGCCAGAACTCGTAAAGTCGGTCAGCATCTAACGATTTCGCGTCAACATCACGCTTTCGACGTATCGTTCGATCAACCCGAAACTCCCACGTTTCCTCAAACTTCGTCAGCCACGGATATTGCACCTATCTTTTCCAGTGGACGACAGGACGTCGAGCGAGATTTTCATAAGAACGTCGGAGTAAAGACCAATGTCACCTATCCTACAGGCGCGATTTGGACTGCATCGTGACCTCCGACACGGTTAAGTAAATATGCATTAAGTCATGCGACCTGTCGCGCGACTCGTGATCGATCGTTCGTGTCGCGCGTCGGAGTGGAACGTTGTAATTATACTCATAAATTGCGAGAAGTTACGAATCCGTGGAGTTAAGGTGCGTTTACGCGATAGTGGCTATAGCATGAGTTCCATACTCGAGGAAGTATAGTAGTTTATATAGTGAGTCAACACTTTCTTGGACACAGTCAGTCCTAGAAGTATTCGTACCCTCTATGCTTTTTAAAGATATTTGTCTAAATCAAATGATAGGTTTGATGTTTTCAAATAAATGTTTCATTATAAATATGTACATGAATAAACATTACACATATATATTTTCATAATGAAAAATATTGTATTTGGAAACATCAAACCTACCATTTAATTTAAACTTTCTACAATAGACATGGAGGGTACGAAAATTTAAACATAAACATATTTATGTACCGCATCTAGAAAGTTTATCTCAAATGGTTCGCCCGCGAGAAAATCACGAAGCTTGTCTTCAACCTGGTTAAAATATAGTGGACCCCTTAAAAGAATAACCCATTAATTTTGAGCACATTATAGGCTCTCGACTTCTTTCCGTGATGATTGCAGACCGTGCTTCTTTTGTTCGCAAAACGCACAATTCAAAGGAGATTTTCCGCGAGGAATCGTAAATCCCACGTTCGGAGTCCGTTTCGCGACAAGCGAAACGAAGGAGAGATTCCATCGAGTAAGAGTGACGCATTCGCTCATCCGGATTACAATATCTAATGTGGGGGAATCGGTTGATCGGATTTTCAGGGCGGGATTCGAAAAGGGACCTTTCCTTTGCCTCCGTCGATCGAGTTATCCGGGGACGTTCACGAGATTATTATTCGAACCGGCACCGGTGGCGTCCTCGTTGATTTTGATAAAATTAGGTGGCAGGCATTAGAGTTGCGGACGCAATCACATTTTCACGCGAACAAGGTTTTACGAAGAACGAAAGTCTCGAAGGGAATACGCGAAACTTGTTAAGAAGCTATTAATATCTACTGTGAAGTTGATGGATGTGAAATTGGTTATTCGATTGCGCCACCGCGACAATCTTCCTAGACTATCTGTTCGTAAAGCTAACTCGCAGTGTACTATTAGGTTTTGCTCCATTTTTCTTTGTTGTTACGTGTTCATCGCACCGTAAGGAAACAGTTAAACGAATCGTCGAGTTTCTATATTTTTCATGGAGCCCTTTGCTGGAATTAATTCCACCATTGGGAACTTCCGTCTGGCGGATCGTTTATCTCTACGCTCGAAAAAGTACAATTCTACTCGCGCTTCGAAAATCGTAGCATCCTCCTACGAAATGCTACCTATAAAATAGCTATATAACAAATAATACTTATCGTCAGGGAATATTCTGCTACGAGTAATAATGTCATTTTTTATATTCTTTCTGAAAAACTGTTCGCTAATCACGCCCTTCCGGCTACGAGTGCAACTACCACATTAGGTCATCCTATATTTTAATGGTACTCGGAATAAAACGAAATAAAAATAAACATCGTGACCGTCCCACGAAGATCTCGTTAGCGACTACAACTTTTTCAGAGTGTATGCGATATCGTAATATAATAACTACTTACAGTCAGACCTGTAAGCACTCGTACCCTCTACATCTACCGAAGAAGTTTGTTTAATTTAAACGAATGCTTCATGTTGCCAAATGTACTTGTAAATCTATACATCGGTGATTTTCATTAATTTCATTCATATACATATTTATAATGTAAAATTGGTTTGGAAACATGAAGCCTATCATTTAAATTAGACAAATTTCTTCAATAGATGTAGAGGGTACGAATACTTATGTACAAATAACTTTTATTACGTAAATTTTAATTTATCCTCGGAGAAGTATCTCCTTTAACTGGCACAAATAAACTAGTTGAACAATTGAATTGGAAACGAAAACTGTACCAACTTCGAACGCAATATTCGACAAGAAAGCAGCCTACGTAAGTTTTGAAATAGTAGAAGTAGAAGTAGAATAGTGGTAAAGTAAATATATTTGTGCACAACATTGGATTTAATCATGAATCTAGATAAACTAAGCTTCGCGTAGGCTCCATGCGTCGTACAGATTAAACGATTAGGCCATTCTTCACCCTGGCTGTACAACGCGCAGACTAATCAGCGAAAGGGTCAACGAGGTGGCGAGAAATTATAGAACCCGAGGGAATCCTGTATATCAGGGTTTCCAGAATTTTTCGCACTGTGGCGCAGTTTGTCAAGCCATCATGTAACCGCAAAAGTGCCTCCCATGACTCCACCTTGTTGATAGTCCGTTTTATTTAAGCATATCGTTTAGGTATTCCTTCTATTCTCAATCAAGATCCAACGCTACGTTGAATTATTTGGTGTCTTGTAGACAGCACATGGGGAGAAAACACTTGTGGATTAAAGGCTACTGAGCAATACACACGGTTCCTCGCGTATGCGAGTCTAAGACCACGATTTGAGAAAAAAAGATAAAAGCTGCTTTATATTGTTTCGAATATTTTGCCCTCGATCTCCCAAATCACGAGTGCCTCGTGATGTACGCCTGGTCGAAATATACCTGGCTTTACTACCTACTCAAGAAGATATACACAAAAATTGCATTCCATATTTACAAAACCATTATATGATAATCAAGTTAAGTGGTTGACTCACCCCCTGACGACACTACACCCTCAACTATTACGTTCTACCGTTACAACCCGATTTGTTTCGACCAAACGTCTCTCAACCCTGAAAATCACCCACTGAATACGAGTTTCCCACAAACGTGCAGTTTTCACGCGAAGCGCAACACGTTAACGATCAATTTATCCTTACCTTCTCGTGTCCTCTTTGTTCGGAGAAAAAACGGATTAAGCTCTTCTCGGCGTCCTGTTGTTCGTCGATGGATCGCTGCGAGATGTCTTCGGTGGAAGAAACACGAAAGTTGTTTCTTCGAGTGCGAAGCGATGCGTCCCGGCGCTCCGCGGCGACAACAGTGTCACGTGTACAAAGGGTGGACGCTTTACGTAGCGCACGGCCCGGTCGAAATTCGCGATCACGGAAGGAACGACGAGAGGAGCCGTGTCGTCGCGACGTGTGGACGCGCACTGCTCGAGAAACGCGGCACGATCACTGGGCGTCGCGACGACGACAACGTACGCCACCACGACCACCACGACGCCGACGTCGTCGTGTGCTACTAGGCGTCGGTGGTCCAGGGACGTACGGCGGCTGCGCGAGCGCCCCCGACGACTCTTCAATGTCGCTCGTCCGATTAAATTAAAGCCAGACTCTTGGCTTTTCCTCTCGCCTACTTTCTTGGACAAGCTCGCGACCCCGCCGAAGAGGAATCGTTCCCACCCGCGGGGAAGGCTTCGAGCCCACGTTACGAGAGAGAAACTCGCCTCCTTTCACGTACGATCGAGATTACCGTTTTTCGAGCAGCTCGTGACACCCGGAAGAATCACCTGGGGAACACTGCTTTTCGCGAACCTATCGCTTTGAATTTCTTTCTCGAGCCTCGAGGCTTCCTCTTGATCCCATTGTCCGAACCCCAGGCTTTCTCGTGCGACGGTTTACGTTGATATCCTCTATCGAAGTTGTCCACGTGTCTGCCAGCGATTCATCAACCCTCGCTGGTTTTTAGCAAAATGACATGCAGTGGAACGTCGATTATTTCTTTGAAGTTAGGTGCATTAAAAGGTATCACACCTTTTGCTTAACTTTACTATTTTATTTAAAGTTTTTCATCCGTGTGGCAATACTATGAATTAATGATAAAAGTGCAGTACGTGGAATCAGAAATGTATAGGTACAAGTCAAAGCGCGTTAGCAATTTATTGACACTGTTCTTCTGTGCAGCATGAATTTTATTTTTATTTTATAATCGTGTGCTTCAAAGAGTTATCAGATTTAACACTAAACCTACCACTGCCGGTCAAATGAACGTTTCAAACTTCTGTGTACATTTCTTATATACAATATACGTATTGTTGAATTTAGTATTACGCAGTTTTGCATGCAACTGAAAAAGGTGTCTTTAAAGCCAGTCATTTAGTGAAAGGTTTAGTGTTAATAAAGGAGCATGGGTGGTAATGATAGAATAATAGAATACTTTCTGTTCGTTCTTGATGTTGATCTTTAAAAAGCAGAATGTTAACGTCGATACTAAAAATCACGAATACTGACATGTAGTATAACTATTTAATATATGAAAGGCCCAGACAGTTCGTCTCAAGTAATACGGATTAGTAATTCTTGCCACGCAGAGGTTGTTGCGAACGGAGATCGAAAGGGGCATTTGCAAAGTTCAACGTTACGGTATTTATGCTATTTATGCATAATTGATTATTAATGAATTTTGATTGAGTTTCAAAGTAAAATATTATGAAGTCAACCTCGTGCAAACTTTCAACTCGCAGACTCGTGGCAGCGCGATTAATTCTTGAAGTCATGGAACTGTGTACGACCCCTGCATACCGTGATAACGTGAACGTTTTGTATGTAACGCGCTTCCACGGGGGTATATTTACCTATAAAGAACGGTTATAGCGCACACTTACGTCCTGATCAATCCGTAAGTGATATAATACCAGTATTTTTTCTCTCGTGACATTTTCCAATGGAGCAGTATTTTTAACTGGCATCAATCAATATAGAACCCATCATTCACCGATAATAAATCGGTTTGTGTAACTATAGCTATGACACACTTTTCAAATGCGAAAGCTATTACCCGACTTTATGTTTCACGATAAATGTAAGGACATTACGGACGTTTTACCTCATCCTGAACGTACAACTAGGTTCAATTTTAGATCGGACGATTACACGGTATCTGATATGAAATGGTGTGCCGTTTGCCAGTGTCTAAATCGTACCAAGCTAGAATAAATAAATAAACATTTTCCGTATGGTTTTGTTTGAAGATTTCGAGTCACTCGCAACCGTTGTTGCATTCCGGCAGTAAACCGCGTCTCCTCGGGCGAAACGCGCTCGCCCGATGCATACGGAACGGGGTGGCTTTTCAGAACACTGAAAATTTCACGAACGCAAAGTGTCCTCTCCGTCTAGGGAGCATCGTTCAACAAAGTTCCAACCAGCGACGCTGAAACGATATTCCCTATCGACTATCATCCCATCCGAAAATTCCCCGTTGCACCCCCGCGATTGTTTCTCTGCGCTCTGTACCAAACGTGAATTATGGCAGTGTTTCTCAAACTTTTCTGACCGTGGCCCACTTTCGCGGAGTAGGTAAACAACTTCGCGAGCCCCTTGGCTTCTACCATGATGGGTTATATTTTATCGTTATACGCGTGCTTACAAACGTGATTCCCAAACGCAATACGGAGGACCTTCGTCTGATTTCATCTAAAGATTATGGATAACAAGGTAAGAGAAGCTGTGCAAGCTTGGAAAAATAGCAGTTCGGAGATGCAACAAGGAGATCTCATAGAAGCTTGTGCCAGAACATTGAAATGCTGAGAAAAATGAGAGCTACTTACAAAATGATGTTTGTAGATGAAGACGAATGGAAGAAGGCAACGATCGGAGAGCATGGGCTAAAGATTTCGTCTTGAAAATAGTTTGGTATTTCAGGGTGTCTAGAGTCAGATAGAAAGAGTAAGTATCTGTGACAGTCAAAGCGTAAAACGAGTAAAGCATGGTTCGATCTGAGTATACAAATATCAACACCTTCCTTTCAAAAATAAGATCAGCGTCAGTCGAAGCGTAAAACCAGCAAAGCCGAGTATATAAATGTCAACAACTTCCTTTCATTATTATCGCCAATGACTACATTATCCACATTCGTGAATTCAATGTTATGCTCGTGACACATTTTAGAGCACGTGCAAGAAGAACGAACCATTGACGTACAAATGTTTGAGAATATTAAGCGAGAATGTCCAGTCGCATCGGTCCGGCGCGGTGGCCAATCGAGAAATCCACACCAATGGGGCACGGACCGTACTTTGAGTAAGATTGCCTTATGCAAATCCCTGCAACGGGATAATGGTGCCGTGGCGACGGCGGCGGTATCCGTGGCTCTTATCTGCATCCGCGCGATCGCACGATACCACTTTTCTCGGCCCACTTCCCCTCGATCGTGGACAGAGGGAATCGATAAGTCACGTGCTGTCGTCCCGGACGACGTCGGCGAAACGTGACCGAAGATAAAGCTGGTCGTCGAGACGTCTGCGAACCGGTTCACGGCAAACCAATCGAAAATTTTACGACGATCATTGAATTATTCCATCGACATATTGCACTCCATTACGGTCGAATATGTGTTTGAGGCAGTTGCGTACAAGCTTTCCTCGATTAATAGAAAACTGTGTAAAAATAGACAAACTTTAACGATTTGTTCCTGCTGTGATAGAAGGGAACATGGACATCTAGGGAGATAAAATATCTGAATACTATATCTGAGTTCTCATAGAGCGTTAATAAGTGGAAGAAGATTCTAAATTTGAATAAATGGCGGAGTGAAATGAATACATGCAAAGTTAGGAAAGGATGGTTGTCAATTGTATGATAGGAATGGTTAGTACGGATTAAATTATACGGATACTGTAGCAAACGAACGGACTATGATTAGTACAGGATACAGCAGAGATAGAAAATCCATCTCCGTTTTGGACCGAGTTTGGATAATTCTATGGACAGAGGAGTCGATTTTTCTATCGATTATATCGAACATTTCTGCAATGCAATATCTCTACATTGTATTCTATGCGAATTGTACGAGATCGTGTGACGGATTACGGTACATTTGATTCCTTTAGCAATGCGATTAATTAGATCCGTTATATTTGTATGCATCGACGTTTTTATTGAAAAAAAAAAAATTCTTTTTATTGCTACATTAATAGAACACACTCATACATGGATTACCTTTATGATTTAGTAAACGCTAATTACAAATTCGCGGCCATTAGCTCGCTATTATTCACGACGTGGATTGTTCGAACAATCTTTTGTCGCGAGTAATACCGATTTTACCGGGTCTCACAATCAGGGTTCAGAATACCATAAGTACTCATTGCACTTAGTAATAGTGAGAAATTTGTCTATATTTTAATATCTATTGTTTCATTTTCACAATTTCCAGACATGGCTAAAAACACGTTTACACTATAGAGATGCAGACAAATTTTTGCGACACTGGGTATGCACTGTCCAAGCAGGAGGAGATGTAAGAAAGTGCTTGCTCAAGCTCTTAATATAACAAAGTGCACATGTGCGAAGGTATGCATTAGCGGATGTTATTTCATTAATTTACGTTTTCATGATGAAAAGTAAATTTCCCTGTTGATTTTTGCAGTCGTCTAGCAACGCTACCAAATTTTCACTCGCGACATATTAAGAGCCACCGTATATTTTAGCATGCTTGAAAGTACTTAATCAACTGGGACAAAAACTACAGAAACTAGATACTAAAAAACTTGGAGCCCGCGATTAATCGAGGGAGGACAATTTCAGCTACCTCGACGCTCCCCGAGTCGATCTACAATACGATCCAACTTCGCTGAAGCGTTTTGTCGCTGGAATGATTAATCTGAATGATTAATCTGAGGACTCGATTGATCCAGAGCCGCTGAAAATCGAATTGCGTATGCAATGAAAAGCGAAGGGTGCAAGCGAAACGCTGACATATCTTGTTGTAACTATTCGAGCCGACAACTGTTGACGTAATAAGAATTTGTCTCCTATCTTGACGTATCTCGAACATAGACTCGTCGTTGGCTTGATATACGTCGAGCGTTGTACGAACGGTGCAAGTCAGGCAGAATGATTCAAGAGTCGCTGTACCGAGACTGCGATCGCGGATACGAAGCTGACGGAAGCATTACTTTGTCTCCGTCTCTCATGTAATTATTCATTCGATTCCAGATAAAAACCAGGGCAATTTACTTTCCCGAGTAATTACTTCAGCTTCAGGTATTATTCTACCGATCGTCCCCGTTTTCTTTCGTGCTTACTTTGAAAGCACTCGAAGGAGCGTTTCGATTTCTTGGAATCTCGTTGCGCCGTGGAGTCGAACGTCTGCGTTGAAATGTGTAAACGTTAATCCTTCGATGGTCGCCCTCTCGAGGAACCCAACGATTTATCGAAGTGCTTTCTTCTCGAAAGCT